GTTCTCACATTTATGACAAATATTATTAATATATAAAGTTTTGTACATATTTTCAAAAATGAATCCTAGACAAATACATTTTGATGTATGCTTATGTGACATTTCATTTCATTGTCTTAAAAATCATTTGTCTCTTTTTCAAATGCATTCTGATTCTTGGGTTGAGCGTTAGAAGGTTTAAAAAAAAAAATTCAGCTGAGCCACATAGGAGCTGTGCGACCTTGAAAATGGCTCAAACATGAAGCTTTAATTTTCTCAGAAATGGGGACAGAGACCACACTTAAACATGTTTTGTGGGGTTCAAATACACTATTTTATATAAAATTAATTTATTAATTTATATGGCTATAGGCAAAGAAAAAGTACTGTTTTTATTATTATCTTTGCAAGAAGAAAGGAAACAGTGCAAAGTCTAGGTTGGAAATGTGAGCGTGAACAGGAAATTATACCTTTGTTATGTCATTCCATAGGGATTGTTTGAGCACCTTATGGCAAAATAGATGCTTTAATGTATATCATTTTTTGCTGTACAACATAAGGAAGCCAAAATAGTTCGAGGTCTTAGCCATTATTATAGGAAGAGCTGCTTAAAAAGAGTTCATTTTCTAAAAAATAATGAATATTGGAAAAATATTAAATTATTTTTATTTGAAATATTTCAAACTGTTTTCAAAGAATATTTAGTAGGAGTTGATTAGAGACCTTAATAATTTCCACATATTTGGTTCTTACCTAGAGCCACAGGCCCCTGGATATTTTCACAGATGAAAGCATCTATGGAAACTCTGAATAATTTGCAATTAAAAAATATATATATATGGGTATATGAATTTTTCTGCAGCATGTGCCTGTAGCTTTTACAAGATACTCAAAGGAGTTCAGAACACAAAAGTTTAAGCACTGCTAATTTTAAAATGAATATTTAAAGTAACAAGTATATTCCTGTTATATTAATTAATAACCACTTATATGCTTAAGGCTATTGCACATTTCTGAAATGATTAAAATAAGTAATTGCCAAAAGACACAATATTACATGCATACACTAATACATATATTTAAGAATAGCCTCTTAAATAAACCATTTAATAGTTATGATTTATAAATGAATTATTCTAACACCACTACCCTTCTATCTAAGACATGAGGTCACAATGCAAAGAAAGTGACTCATGGTTATCCAAACAAAACAAAAGTTTGCCAATTATTGTTTTCAATATTTTAAAAGTAAAATGCCATTTTATTAAATATATACTTATACTAAAATGATAAATCACTGGATGATGAATTTTCTGGGCTGTAAGGACAATATACTTATTTTAAATATCAAGTATGTATATAGTGTGTATAACAAAACAAAAAATTAGTTGTTATCTTCCCCATGTACAGGGAACACACTTTGTTCTATCTTGTAAGTATGTTAAGAAGTAAGACAAATAAAATAAAGTAATAAAATTAACCCTAGCATGCATCTTACCATATAACCAGATTAACTGAAATTTTATTTGAGAAAAGTATAAGCTATAATTGCTAACATACATAAAAAAAAAAAAACTACATAATGGAGTCTTTGGTCATTCATTTATCTATAAAATATATGAGGCTGCCTACTATGAACCAGGAATTCTGCCAGATTTCTTTTGAATTTACAGCATGTTATAAAATCTCATTTAGTATGCAAAACTCTGAATTTTGTAAAAAAAAAAATCACCTTTTCACCTTACAGATCTTCTATTTAGTAGGCTGTAAGAGCAGCATAGAAACACATCAAATTATGTGTAAAGATCCACCTGGCAGAAACATACCCTGTAATATAAGTGATCAATAAATATTCATTAAATAAATGAAGTGTGGAATTTTTTTTTCCCCTGACATAGTGTTTCAAAGTAATCAAAAGGACAGTGATTCATTTACACTAACTGGAGAATTATAAATCTATTTATACATTCCTTAGTAAATGGTTACTTGTATATTTAAAAAAAAAACTAAATGTATGATATGTTCTATTAAAGGATGTTTTGATGTTTATTTAAATATCAAAAGCAGCTACAGCAAAAATAATGACCTCAACCTAGGTTGATACTTAGGTTGGTTAAAAATATTAATTAGTGACAATTATTCCAATGACTCCACCTTTAAAACTTTAAAATAGAAAGCACATACATTATTCAAATAACATAAAAAGTAAATTATTGGCATTAAGTATGTATTAAATTCTGATTATATAACAGATAGCTGATTATATTTAATAAATAACAAACATTAAGTGTTTATTGTGGAGAATTTATTATTAATCTGTTTATAAATATATTATTTTATACACACATGCATATAGATTAAAATAAGATTTTTATGTATTTTTATGTAATGAATAACATTTACCCACATATAGATACATCTCTGAGATTAAGCACTCTATTTCTAAGTCACCAAATAATAAAATTAAAAGTATAGACTAAATTGGCTGGTTTTGTCTATCAGATTATCTTGTTAGGCATCTATTTTCCTTCCTCCCCCTTCTGTGCTTCACTTGCTTCTTCTAACAAGTGACTAATAATACTTAACCCTCCAAATTAATATTACAATCCATTTTTGAAGTGAAATTAAGTGGTGAAAATAATTTGCATAATTTATTGTGTCAATCTGTTTTAATATAGCAACAAAATATGCATTATTTATGAATAAAAATATGGGCAAATATTTGTAAGGAATTATATCTCATGAAAAAATATGAAAAAGTTAAGGAATGGCTAGAACTTCTAAATAGCATTGAAATAGGTCATAATTTCAAAGAAATAATCAAAAGGCAAAATACATATTTGGAACCAATTTTCTCTTCTCCAGAGGAGAAAAGCACCTTGATATCCCTGGCTGTTTAATATTTAACGAAGACACCAATAAGCTACTTGCCCAGCTCCTATTGGTCCTCACATTTCACAACTTTATTATTCAAAAGACTTTTCACCACATGGATGGAAAGTAAAAACAACAAAAAAAATTGTTTTGTTTTGTGTGCAGTATCAAAATGTCAATGCAAGCTAAAAATATTCTCATTCAATGACGTTGTTGAAAGGACCTCACCAACTTACTGTTTTTTAGGGAAAAACATCTGGGAAAAGAAAACTTGGCAAATAGGGCAGAATAGGTTTAATCTCTCTGGGCTAAAATAAAATAAAGGCGACTTTAAGATGAACAGCAATTTTGTAACATTCATTCTATATGTATGATGCATGAGATTTCATCACTGCTAATTCAAATGAGTATCATTACAAAATGGAACTCTTTCATATGAAAAATGTTTGGACCTTTTAATGACATCAATGATTTTTTTGCATGTATTAAACAAGAATATAAATAAAATAATCAATCTGCAATTGAAAAAAATATCTCTTATGAAAATTTAATTCAACTCCCTACTTCCTATAGTAGGGAAACTAAAGGTAAAACACACAGCAAACTCATATTTATTCCTACCCAGCACATGTGTTTCTCTGAGGAAATAGCCCTGGACTTGTGTCCCTACTGGCTTCAAGGGCAGCATTAAATACCATGGTGGACTCACGATGACACAAGGCTGTCCTCAGCCCAGATGTGTATTATTAGCAAAAAGTGAGTCTGTCCCTAAGTAAGCTAACCTGAACCAAATGTAGATATTTATATTTACTGTATTTGAGAGTCTAGCCTTACATTGTAATGGGATGTCAAAAGTAATGTATGCCAAACTTTTACTCCTAAGTATCTATTTAGCGTCTGTAAATACAGCATGAAAAACTTCCATTAACAGACCTGCATACATTTTCTCCACATTACCTCCAGGAAACTGCTTCTCTGCAGCCTAGAACATTCAGTTAAAGTGCAAATTGCTTGACATTCCAATGCTGCGAGTGGACATAATGAGCGACCAGGGACTTGAAGGGGGAGCCCATTTGGTGTCTTTTAGCCAGCGTTCCACAGGTGTGAGCAACTCATCTCTTAGGAGAACAGCCTCCCTGTTCCACAAGGGCTAGCTCTTCGTCATACCACATGTGTTAACTCGTCATTGTATCAATAAGATTAAGTTCAGGGACTCTTATTAGAAAACCAGAGAACTAGGTAAAAAAAAAATGTTCACAAACAAATTCAACACAAAATCTCAACACTGTACAAAATAATTTCTGAAACTTTATTGTGAATTTTAAGGTACATTTAGTAGAGGATGTTGTCCTTAATATAATTACTTAAAATAAATCAGAAAGAAATGCACATACTACTTGTTTAAAGCAAGGATAAGTACAGACTTTCGAAGTCACAATATATACAATTATATGAGTGCAATAAGCTTCCAAATACATTAGGTATATATCTGCTTAAATAAATAGAATACTTGATTTGACATATGTGAGAGTTATACTGATTACACCAAAAATGTTTTACAAAATATAGCCAAAAATGGAACGTTATACATTTTGATATACAACTTTTTAAAATACTTTATATAGTCATTACTTAATTCAAATTATAGTGTACAAAAGTCCAGTTTAATGAGGACAAGTTTTAATTGTGTTTTTAACACTTTTCAGCAAAGATAGATATTAAGATGCATCCCTACACATGTTGCTAAATTACCATTCAACTGAAATCACTAGCACAGGGAGGAAATGTAAAATGTTCTACCAATTATTAACAGTAATAATTTTTATTGATAAATCACCAGTATAACACACTGCAACATTATTTTGGCTATTTTAAATCTTCTGAAGCATATCACCTAATTCTTCGTCCAATTATTTTTGCATGTATAAAAACTTAATTTAAAATCAAAACAGAGAGCTATTGCTATATTGAACTTCTTATCTACTCTGCAATACACTAATTTTAAATAATACCTTTATTGATCAGTTTTCAATTGGGAACTTTTCCCCAATAATCCTTTAATAATAATACTTTGTGTAGTACCTTACGATAGATCTCAAGAATTTATTGCATAAATTAGTAATAGAATATACTGTATTGTGAATGTTACCTACAGAATAATGGTATTATAGGAACATGTTATGTCAAGTGTGTACATTTATAATTATTTATACACTGTATCACAATAAGGAAGATTATTTTAAGCCACATTTCATCATTTTTAGCATATAGTTACACATGGTAATTTGGAGTATATATAAATGTGGCTACTTTACAGAAGTAAAACTGAGTATAAACTACCAGGGTCGTTGTCATTTTTTAGCTGAAAATAAATGTTTTATTTTGTGTAATTTTTTAATAATAAAAGAAAGAACAGAAAAGGAATCAAACATCTCCATATATCATAGAGTGGTGGAGTGGGGAAAGGGACCCTTCAATGATCGTTTTCTAAAAATTTCTTAAGCAACAATGATTGAAAAGAAGCATTTTGCAATTAAACAACGAATAATGTGTTATCTGACTATGTCTACAGAAGCGGCCTGGCAATATCAGAACAGAATTATAGAATGACTAGGAACACATTATCAGTCTTTTTTGACATGGGTGCTATAAAAGTAACGTAAGGAAACCTGTTGTATGTGAACTGATGTTGCACATTTATATTTTTAGAATATTAGGACATCAACATATCTGAACGCATATCTAAAACAAGCAACACAAGTTAAATTATCTTAAACTAACCCAGTACCAATTGCCCACTGTTTTAATGGAACAGCACCACATGTCAAGCACCCAGTCAATCTCTATAACTCAGCAAGTTGCCTTTTACTGGTCAGAATGGAAGCATATACATTGTCTGCAAGAAGTGAGTTGATATCAGGAAGGCTATGTAGAGAACACACACAAATGCAGTCTCAATGTACTTTTACCACAGGCAATAGCCTGTGAAGCATAGCTTTACCTTCGTAACTATAGCACCTTTTCTTTTTTTTTTTTTTTCATCAGAGAGAAATGTCATCAGAGCTATTAACATTAGGTTTATTTAGGAAGAAATGCACTCACTTATGAGTGGAGTATCTCAGCTGTCCATATATGTGTCAAGGTGTTTGTGTGTGTGTGTGTGTGTGTGTGTGTGTGTGTGTGTGTTTTCAGGGTAATAAAAGATGAAATATAATTCAAGTAACATGATTGTTCAAGAGTAATCTTATTTCTTCCCTGTAAAATGAACAGGGGTTAATTAAACAAATTGCTATGTCTTCTCAGCTCCCATGCTTTAAGGCCTTGATGGTAACAAAGGAATGATTGGTTTAACTATAAAGTATGTATGTATACATTCACACTAAGTTAAAAATTTTCAGTCTCTTGAATACTCTCTCAGAGTGTTAGAAACTAAATAATAGACTTCAAATATTTTTTAAACTAATTCATTCTTAGTATTTTGAAGTTAAATGAAAAAAACAATGTCTCATAGTCTACGAATACCCCTAAATTGGGTAACAAATTTATTGAAAGTTTAAAGACAATCGCCTCATTTTATCTACATCTAGAACTCCATTGTTATGGTTAATAGACTTTATAATTCTATTTTAATGCCACTCTGTGTATCAAAGACTCATGCACAATCACCTCAAATACAGTATGATTAATGTGTTCGTAATTTCTCTTTTTCAAATAATCACCTTAAATTTGACATATTCCTGATCCTTTTGGCTTTAACATTACGATTCTTAGAAGCAGAAGGAGAAGATAAAGAGGGGGAGGAGGGAAGGGAGGGGGAGGCGGAGGAGAAGGAGAAGGAGAAAATAAGCATTAAAAAAACTGTGAATAACTAGAACCCATTGCCTCAGTGAGTGCATCTGTAAAAGTGATATTGAGTAAGTCATTTCCAAATTGCTGTAATTTGCTTTTGCAATCCCTGCACAGCATTCAAATACATGTTGTGGTTAAGAAATAGAATACATGCAATTGAGGAAAAGAATTCATTTTCTGCTGAATAAACAGCTAAAAAAACCACATTGTCAAAAATCTAAAGATCAGCACCCCCATCAGAAATCTATGTAAAAATACGTCCAAGAGTTTGTGAAATTAAAGTCTAAAGAGAGTAATTTTATTAAAGTGCCACTATTGAAACAATTTACAATAAAGCCAGTTAAAAAGTTCTCAGATAACTTGGTGTCAGAAAATATTGCCATAATTCCACTGCTATAATAGATGAGCTCTGTAAGTATGGAAGGAAAAGCTGGAGTTTGGGGAGCCTTCAATATTTTGCAGTTACAATATTGTTATTAAAACTTTTGGTAACGTATGGAATAAATGTTTCACTTCAGAGACATTTTACACAGCAATATGTAAATGATTGTATATTAGATTTTTTGTGTATATACATTGCATCTTATTTTCTTATTGTGGTCACAGACAAAGCATACCTTTTCTGTGGATATTTTTAAGAGATAAAAATGGTTGTAATTAAAAGGACAAAATCATACACTGCACACAATATTGGGGTATTCCATTGAGCCAATTCTTGATATTTTTGAAAAATTATTTGACAAGAAAAGTATACCAGCTTAATTACATGTGTGTCTTCCACGTCCCTTTTTATCGACTTTCTTGAAATTCTGAATGTGTGAAGGTTAGGGATTAGTGTCCTGCCTTTTAAACCACATCGTTGCAGAAAAACCATTACAGAATTTCCACTCCACTAGTAATGTTGTCCGGTTCCAATAATCCTCTCATGTCATTCCTCAACTGCCTAGAATTGATGTGCGTTAATCCATAATTGTGCAGGGAAAAAATAAGTGCCTGCTGGAAAGCTTCTACTCCCCTCAAGGCAGAAGTGTCCAATGCTAAGGCTATTCCAGTGGGCTCTTATAATGTCCATTTGGGTACAGCCTGCCTGTCACAATCATAACCAATAGGCATAATGTCACTACAAATTATCACCAACACCCGGAATGTCGATGCAAATTAATTTAGTGTTTCATAGAGCCTTGTCTGTTTAGTCCCCAGATAAAGGAGAATTCCAGCTATATTTTAAGCCACCTAGAAAGCTAAATCAGCACATTGTGTTAGATCACTAACATTTGCATGCTAGGGCTTTAGTTCTCAACCCCCAACTGGGAGCTCTATCACAAGAGGGCTCACCTATTGGGGAGCCAAAACAGCTTGGCAGTCTTCTACCTGAATCTGATTTAAAAAAAAAGATTACTAAAATTGTTTGCTTTTATATTTGGTCTCATTAAATATGATGTCCAACAAAAAATATCATTAAAAAATGTATTCTCTAAAAATGACTCTTTAAACAAACATATAGACAAAATGATTCTATCCTTGCACAGGTTATGGAGTTAAAAGTCAGCTTGCCTGTATGATTTTGGGTTCATACCCAAGTTACACTTTTCTAATATCTTACCTTAGTCATTTAAACTACGGAAGTCCTGCCACTCTAGTCCATTGGCAAATTAACAGATGACCTTAGCTTTCTTATATCAATGGTTGATGTAAAACTGTGCTCTTACTAAATCATTGTTGTCTGATTAACAAACATAGCTACATTTGGTCAACACGTTCAATACTGCTCTTTAATTAGAATAATTGAAATTTTTCTGCCTATTAAAGCTTATTAGTTAAGGGTCATCAAGAAAATGCTGCTGCACCAAAATCAAACTAAGCTTTAAATAATACCTGAGTCCACGCAATCAAAATGTAAGCGATGCAAGCTTCTAAACTATAGGCTTTCAGAATTATGTCAGTCTGCTTGTCTCATATAAGAAATGCTATTTGAAAGTGCAGATCATTTTTTATTCAGTAGGCATATGGCAGAATTTATGTTCTAAATAAGAACAGCATTCATGAGTGATTCAGTGATCCACGTGCATTACACACAGCGGACGGAAAGGTTAGCATGCTGTCCCAAGCATCAATTTCTTTTGTCAAGTGGAGTAAGAAAAGCTACCTCATTCTAACCTTCAAATTCCCCTCAAATTAAAACTGCAACTTTCCCACCTAGAATTTTTATCAAATGCATCCATTATAATAATCCATGATAAACAAATTTTATTTGGATGAAATGGTTCTCTGGATTTCTCAGATTTAAGGGAGATCTTGACAGTCCGAAAAGTGTTTATCACCTATTGTTAGAGTTTTAGGCAAGGGGCATTAAGAAGCCAGTAATAAAATATGGTATACTCGTATTTATAGAACTGTACAAATTGATGAATAGTTTTTTTGTGGCTAAAGTTAAAAATACTAGAAAATCTACTCTAGGGCTAAAATGTTATAAACAATAATAAAATAACTTATTGTACACATGTTCCTAAATAGACATGAAGACGTGTTCTCTCAGTGCATTACAGATAGGTTGGGGGAAGGCCCATGCTGATCTTAGCTGGCAAGTTTTTGCAAAGATGGATGGTGGTTGGTGCTTCTGACCCATTCAGGAACAGGGGCTGGAATAAAAATTAAAAAAAAAAAGGAGAGCATCATTCTAGTCTAGTAGAGAAGAGAGATCTTTTTGTTATAATAGTTTTACCTCCCCCTCTTCTAGAGCCCCTCCTATCTGATATGAGGAGTAGTTTTTCAAAAAGTATAATCGTAACATTCTTGTTCTATTTTGAGATGAGCAGAATGTTTCAAATTCACTACTAAAATCTACTGTGTGGGAAAATTATTCAGAGTCCTACTGCCTAAAAGACACAAATGCTATTACTGGTCTTACGAAGGAGTAGCTGTGAAGGTTCATAGAAAACCAGAAAGGAGCGCTCATGCCTCAGGTGTGATTGTGTCATCATGCCAGACGCTCAGTGGTGAAATTTATACACCAGAGGAATTAAAAACAAAATATCAAATTTGACTTCAACTTTTTTTTTTAACCTGTACACAAACAATTTATTTTTGGCACCATGGACTCTAGGTGATGTGTCATAATTTTATTTTTTAAATCCAAGTTTAATCATAGAAGCAGCATCGTTTAGCAACTACAAGCAAGGCTTCTGGTCTAAGACCCCTACGGTTCAAGTCCTGGATTACACTTCACTTATAAGAACTGAGACCTTAAGCAAATTATTTAACTTCCCCTCAGCTGTAAATGAGGGATGTTAACAATAATACCTGACTCACAAGGTCATTGTTGCTATTTAAGGAGTTAATATATTTAAAGAGCTGAGAGGGATGTCAGGGACACAGCACTCAAGTAAGGTGGCTGTTATCATCATCTGGTGTTGCAAATCACTTTTAACACATTGTAAACTAAGTTTCTAGAAATAAGGAAATAATGGTACCAACGTGAACATTGTGATCATTTTACAGAGCCAAGATTGTCCATGTCTCCCACGAAATTGTTCGCTACTTAACTGAAATTACTGTGGTTTATTTTGGCCAGTTATTTTAATATATGTTTAAAAGCATGTTTACATTTTTTTAGTAATAAAGTAATGATGAGTCATGTTAAAGTACTCAGTAATTAGTTTCAATCTCAGTAACATCTCATTAATTCTCTTTATTGTTAGCTTTCCCCATATATAGAGGCTACTCTAACTCTATTATGATTATCAAATGTTGCTTTTGTCCAAATTCCTAATGAATTTATTTCCTTCCAGGCGAAACATTAGAAGGCACAGTCTACATAAATTCATTAATCTACAAACACCCAATTCCAAATTATATGCCAGTGGATCGTGCCTCTTTGTACTTTTACAATAGAGAACTGATTGGTTTAATCATATAACTGTGATTCACTGTATTGTCCCCAGAATGGCTCACCATGACAATGTTCCAGAAACTCACAGGGTTTTAAGTCTTGGCCTGTCAAGCTTCTCACCTGGCCAGAGACCCTTACATCTCATTCCACCAATTACTGCCCCAAATAGCTAAAGCACCTCTTAGGCAGAAATCACAGGGTTTTCATTTGACACTAATCTATTGTTTTGTTTTATTCTACTTTTAAATTCTGTATAATTTGCTGTCACCCAAATTAGTAACATTAGTTTTAGGATTTTTTTTTGGGGGGGGGAATTACCTCCAAATGACCTTATATCCATGGAATGAATATTTAGAAAACGTATCATGTGCATATAGCCATATGGTTATGAAAGGCACCTTTGTTGCTACACATTCAGGATAAAAGCATTAGATGATTTGCTTAACATGAAAAACAAAAATAAAGTATCTGGTGAGCAACGTGTGCCATTTCCAGAACTACACCTCCTCCATCTATATATCAGCTTCCCAACCTTGCAAAGAAACTGCTGTACTCATCTACCTACAGTGTAAAATCTTCTTTTTGTAATACTTCCACCAAAAATACTGATTGGATTGGGTTTTCATAAAGTTTTTTCAAGACAAAAGAGCAGAATGCAGTAAGCACTACTAAAATGCAAGTGGATTTTGAAGTTCCAAAATCACTGGGATATTAGCGAATAAGCATTTCTACCCTACGGTGCACGTCTCAACCATCCTCTAGGGCCCAGTTTCTGCAGTGTTCTGGACAAAAGGTGGTACTCTCTGCTATGGCAAAACATAGCCCTAATTTATGTTCCTGTATGCAATTAGCGTTTGTTCCATGTTCAGGTGGTATATTTGGGGGCTACCTCAGCTAATTTGTAATTCAGTCCCTTTCATCCCAAACTTGATTTTCCATCAGTAATAGATTGACAGTTCTGATTATTTACATTATTTCTTCAAATTAACTCAATTTTGTCTTTGAATGAACGAGCTGCCAATAAAATCAGTGAGCATTATTAGATTGAATTAGCTTTTCTAAGACTTATCCTGTAAACAAATGAATCATCAATCAAAATTACTACCATTTGACTTTTTAAAAACTGTATTTATTCATTATCCCCAAATTATGTGGAATTCTCCAATAATCTGAAATACTAAAAATGCCTTATGGCAGAAAAAAATATTAAACATAACTAGTATAATATTATTGATAAAAATATGGTAGCTACATACTATTTTAAGTTGATAGCTTTCTAATCAAAGGATAAACACCAGTAATCTGCTTGAGGTTTTATAATTCTTCTGTTTTGTGATTTCTGATTTAGGAGAATAAAATTAATTTTCTAGTTCAGAAGGGAAAAATTAATCAGGCAGAGACCTCAAAGAAGATAAAGGCAATGCTCTCTTATCAACACTAATGCAAGAGCCTGATAACACAGATCATACAAACAATGAAAATATTGCAAATTGTTCATTGTCAGGAGAGCCTGAACCATATGATTTATTTTGTAATTGTTTTTCTTGAGCCAATGTTAACATTGATTGGTACTGTTTGAACATATATCAACTGATGATGGAAAAAAGTAGGCCAAACGGCATTGGGTGGTAAGAGGAAATCTGCCAAAGACTGATATGTCCCTAAGTAATTAGCAAAAGCTGTAGTTCTATTTTCAATAATAAAAATGAAAAAGAAAATGCCTGAATCCAATAATCTTTCAGATGAGAAAATTGCATTCTCAAGATGCTAAGTGAAATGTTAGCAAAGTATAAGTGGTTTTAAATAGGTATTATTGTTGCCAAAAATGAGAAAGCTATGTGTACAAATGTTTTGAAGATGGGAAAATCTAAATTTATTTTAATAATCCCTACTGGCTTATTTTCTTTGGTAAAGTAATGCATAGTCACTTATAAAATTCATATTAAGCAAGGAATTAAAACTGTGTAAAAACACCACGTTATCTGTCACTGTGAGTGATGGTGAAACTGTCACATTTCTAATTTTATGTAGAAATTGGTTAGTACAGGCAGTGTAACACTCATGTAATTTCCACACAAACCTTTACTTAAATGTATCTGTTTTACTAAGCTTATATCCTGTTGCTTCATTCTAAATTAGCTTTCCAAACTGGCTATATGTTCATATTACTGAACAGTGGATTACATTTAATTACATGATTTGGTTATATCTATATATTTATTATTTCTCCAAAAAATGTTTATATTTTAATCAATATATTTAATTAAATAGTGCTATTATACATTTTATTCCTGATATCTACATATATTGCCAGTTTTCAATTTTTTAGCACATTCACATTATAGTTAATTACTTGGAAGATAGTTGCTTAAGTAGCTGCAGAAAAGTTGAAAAGATCTTTTTTTGCACCAGCTTAATGGTTATCACTGACACCTATCTACAATTAAAATAGTACATTTTCTGACAGTAAAAATCTATCTTAAAAATAGGTTTGCACAAAAATATTCAGGTAAGGCGTTAAGTGTATTATTTTTCAAAACAAAAACAAAGATTATTTGCTTGAATATTCTGTTGAAATTTTGAAATGGCCTGCTCATATAAACATTCATCTATATGTAAATTATTAGCGTTTTAAAAATGATTACGTTAAACATAACATAGTCTGTCTTGCCTGAAATGTAAAGCCCAATTATAACATTTTGTGTTTTAATGAAAGGAAACAAAACTTTCAGGATATGAAAATTTTCCAATTTAAGAATAAATTATTTACAATAAAGGTCAGCATCACCTGGAGGTAAAAGCCAATTAAATCAAACATTTCTTTTAGCCAGAGTTTAACATCTATATTCCATGTCTATGTTATGTCTTTTTGAAAGGTGAAGGCTGGACATTCTTTTGTAGAATATTATGACTCAAAAAAACCCTTTTAAGTGGATCCCTATATAAGTGGACCTACATTTTTAGAGAACACTGTATTTTAACTTGGGTTATTACTCAACATTATCAATATGTGTCATGTTTTTAAAGCAATTTTTACTATAGCAAATATGCTGATCTCATATAGTTACAAAAATGAAGTTTTACTTGCAACTATATATTATTAACACCTTTGCTTGTAGAAGAAGTGCGATTTTAAGTATGAAAAAGTACGTTTCCCTCTAAATTAACCAAAGGGTAAATTTAAACTTGGCATTCTTATAATTAGAGTAATAGATCTTAGAATTTTATTACCCTGCTGAAAGATCAAGTCTCCAGCACTAGTTAAAAAAAGGAGATACTTTAAAAAATATATTTCAGGGAAATAATGACATCAATTTAAAACTGAGAGAAACTATATATATATATATATATATATATATATATATATATATATATATATATATATATAT